AAATTAGAGCGAAAATAACGTATACAGTCAAAAGAATAATATAAAAGTATAATTCTTATCTAGGCTGACGAAATTAAAATTTTAAAACAATGAAAACGAAGATTTAATATTCAATGTAAATTTTTTTTTAAGTTTTGGTTTGAGGTATTTTTCGAAACAAATGACTACAGAACATTATTTTCTTTATGTTCAATACAATTCTTAAAACTTAATTTGAAAGCATGTCTAGTTATAGGAGATATAACTACCTTCGAGCGGACCAGAGCGATTCAAATTAATATGAATTTGTCTTGAACAACGACTGCTAAAAAGTTGTAAGATTCAATTTCCCGGAGGATCGAAGGCTTTTTTAAATCGCAGATTTGTAAAAATTTGAGAAAAGATTCGAAGTAAAACAAGTTTAAGAAATGATTATATATATATATATATATATATATATATATATTTAATAAAACAGACTGACAGTAAGCAGTGTATAAAGTTAATCAATTAATTAATTAAAATTTAATAATAGTTAATTAAAATTATCAACCATCAGCTCAAACCAAGAAATTTTACAAAACCTATAAATCACGCGAAATTTCACAAATTAACGAGGTTTTTAATTGAACTATTTACTAAAAACACTATAAAATGTTCATTCTGCCAACTAAAAATATTCTCACAAACTGCCTAAGGTATCAATTAAACAGTTATCTAGTTTTTAGAGTTATAAAAAAAAAAAAATGTTTTTGCTGAAGTCGCAGGTTTTCCATTACTCGGCCCACTGTGCGCTGGTCTATTTCTGCCCGTTGTTCATTCATTTAGGTTATTGTAGAGCCGAGGTATTTGAATTTTTCTATTCCCGGGAGTGATTTTTCCCTTGATTATTTACTAATAAAAAACAAACAAAAAATCTCCCATATTGCTATCAATATGAGAATGGGAGTATCAACAGTATTGCAGGATGTTTGTATTGATGGAGGTTGTCAGTGACTGGGGACAAAGCAAAACAATCATGCAGAGAATTAAGAAACTATGATTCTGTCATTTCAGGAAAAAAATAAATATTGAATCATTAGTCTAGTCGTCTCGACATCTGACTTATAATTTAACAATCAATCAAAATTGAATCAAGGTTACTAAAAACCCCGCAAGGCCGTTCGTCCAGGAATCTTAAGTAGTAGTATTTCTTTATTATTTATAGAAAAAAATCTTTATTATTTCTTTATATACATTTTTTAATACAGTACCTGTACCCATTGTGGAAAAGTATATTATTATTCACTTTTCTTCATTGTTTTTATTTAGGTTTTGACCAACATATAGATAAAAATCAATGAAGGAAGATGGCATAATAATCAATCTGAAATCTAAGCGAAATAATTTCTTATATTCAATAATAATAATAATAATAATAATAATAATAAGGCTTAGCGAACCCGAAGGTTCGATGCAGACACCACCAATCGCTTGTTGTTACACACCTCCCCTCCCTCCACCGTTCGCCGTCCAAACCCAGTTCCTTTAGATCAGCTTTAATGCAATCTTCCCACCTTCGCTTCGGTCTACCCTTCGGACGCTTACCATTCGGTACAGCAAATATTAACCTTTTAGGAATTCTCTCGTTACTAAGCCCAACAACTTTACAAGCCCATTTGATTCGCCGCGATGAAATTACCTCAATTATATTACCCGGATACAGCTCACGCAATTCGGCGTTGTGTAACCGTCTGAACTCTCCGGTTAACTCATCCTTCTTCGGTCCGAATATTCTACGCAATACTTTATTTTCAAAAACCTTAAGACGCTGCTCATCCCTTAATGTAAGCGGCCAAGTTTCGCATCCATAAAGAACTGTAGGCAAGATAATTGTTTTATAGATTCTAATTTTTAAGTTCCGGGACAAGAGGCGCGAACTAAGTAGTTTTGTCACAGAAAAATAACAAGCATTTCCCGCCTTCAGTCTAACCTTAATCTCCTCTTCAATTTCGTTCTTTCTAGTTATCGTAGAACCTACTTATATTCAATAATATAACTAATATACAGTACTTTATATTTAGAGCTGGTCTAACCGTCTTGGAATAGCCTCATTAGATTCAGTAATAATTATTACAATGGCATTGTTAAAACATGGTTTCTATGAGATTTTTGGCGGAAATATTCTGTTTTTCATTATTGTGCGTCGCTCGCCGTGAGCGATTTTTCGGTACAAGTTTAATACTGGAAAAAGGCCAATGGAGAAAGAGAAATTAATTGTATACAAAGTATTTGTTGATTTCCCAATGAGAGCTCGATCACACGTGGTTTTTCTATATTATATTTTTATGAATGAATGAATTGGAATTACTCATATGTTTATAAGCGTTGAATTGAGATTTTTGGCGTGCTATTTGGGACCAGAATCACCCGTATAATATAAGTAAAGAGAAAATTCACGATTTATGAACACGAATATCATGTAGAATTAAGGTAGTTTAAGAGAGACATTTGGTCCAGCGATTCAGGAATATTTAAAAATAACAATATAATTTTTACGTTATTCCATTCATCGTATAGAAAAAATACGCTTCGTACACTCATTAGAATTGTTGAAAACTAACAATTTTTAAATATTCCTGAACCGCTGGACCAAATGTCTCTCTTAAACTACCTTAATTCTACATGGTATTCGTGTTCATGAATCGTGAATTTTCTCTTTACTGTGGGTATGGAAAATTAGACAAAACTCCAACTGTTTGGTTATTCCATTTGGATGATTCAGAATTTTTTGATAAAAGCCCCAGGGTATTTTAAACAAATATCAACATTAGCTTATTAGATTAATAGGTAAATAGTATTAACTTTATTGGAATTTTTCAAACCTTATAAAAAAGCAATAACAAACGTTGTCTCTACGAGCTCATGAAACAAATAAGAAGAAAATATATTTTATATTTATTCAGCACTAGCATAAGAGTTTGTGCTTTGATAATACATTAACTGCACCCAATGCATTGTGAAAAAGTAGATTATTAGAATTAACTTTCTTTTTAACTTGTATATATAGATATCCTTCTCTGCTGCAGATATATACGGTAAAATTAAATATAGTAAGCACAAACTATAACTGTTATCTATCAATAAATAGAGCAATAATTAAATTGATAAATTTATTAATAGATAGCTTGTAACGAAACTTACTAAATATTTTAAGAGGATTAGAATCTTATATTTTTCTGACCTGCCTCAACATCAACGAGCATTTAGCAATCTTTTCTTTGTTGTGTGTATTTTTTCTAGTGATTTCCCCTTCATATTACTCCTCAACGATTTTCATTGCTTTTGCCCTTATTTTTTTTTCACTATAATTTTTTTAGTACTGTTCTCCTTTGAACTCTTAACATATTTCTCATGGCTCTACATGGGATTCCCCCTAAGGTAGTGTTGAAGGTCTCACATTACAGAGATAAGATCATTGATGTCTTACCTGCATCATCACTTAATCGTCGAATAACGAAAACAATGTGAGGTGCCTAGAACGCTAAAAATTTTTGCAACTGTTGTACAAATGATGTATTAGTAGGCAAGAAAAACAGGGGTGGTAGGTAATAAAATTAAATTTAATTTAATAAACTATCCTAATTAGTATTCTCAAAATTCCCCAACAACCGGAAATCGTAATCCTTAGTTAGTTATCCAATCCAAAATTTAGTTTTTTACCTACATGTTATTTATATGCTAAAAGAAAATATTCATAACGTTTTGGGATCTCTTGAGTACAAATAACTAAGTTTTGCAAAATGGTCTGTGTGATTTTTGTGTGTGTGTGTATGTGAACAGTCAAGCTCAAAAACAAAGTCAAACGAAACTTAAATCACGTATTTAAGGTTTATATATGCATAGAATAATACAGATATATTTTCAAGTAAATTGGCTAACCAGAAATGTCTTAATATCATCGATTTCATTCTTACAACTTTTTCAAAACCAAATATAACTAATGATTTGGAATCAACTCCTTATGCCAATGTTATTTGTAATGTATGGTAGATTTTATTTAATTATAATTTTTCAAAATAAATATATGAATTCAATTATAAATACCAATGGAAAAAATTGATGCTTAGATAATCTTTGCTAAGATGCCATATTTAAACTCAACTGGTTAAACGAAATAGAATATTAATTATTCAAATTTAGTAAACAAAATTTCAAACTAAGTAAAAATAGTGTATATAATGTAATTATATAGAAACTTTTGTGGCGATGATTTGAGAAAACAATCGATGCTTGATAAATTAGATTCATTAAATTTAAAATAAATTTAATTAACACTAGTGATGGTCACATTTTACCTAGAATTTTTAACTAACCTATTATTGCAATCTATCAATTTATTTTAATTTTGATATCTAATTTATTTTTTAATAACTTCACGATGGTTAAAATGGGCCTGAAAATATATTGAGCTTAATAAAATGATCGAAAACAAAAACATTGAACACATTCGAGGGGTAGAACGATACATGAAGGGTGTAGATAAATTCTGGTGTATCCGCTTCGAATCTTCGATTTCACTTAGACGGCTAATGAAACATAGTAAGAGATAAAATTAATGAAATTTTCAATAAAATTAATAATATTTTCTGTGTCATAAAGATTTATCAACAGAGGAGTTGCACAGAGAACAGAACTTAAACATTTATTTATTCTTATGTAACGCTAAATTCGAGACAATTCACGGAGAAGCATTTTCGGGGTTGCTAAATCCATAAATATTATGGATCTTCCTTGCATAATTCGCAGAACTAACATCAAAAGATTCTGACTACGCCTATCAATAAGAAGTTAAGAAATATTATCCTGTCAGGTAAAGATTGTATTCGCGAATTAGAATAAACGCATTTATATAAGTTGGGATTGAATTGAGTGCACACAGAAAGGCGGAACCAAAAGGGTGATGAAAGACAGTAAAAACAAACAAAAAAAAAACCAAACAAGGAAATGTAAACAAAAGGCCTGTGTAATGAGATAATTACCTGAAACCTGAAGTGGCCGACTGGAGGGAGAGCGTATCTGATGCCGGAGAATGCCTGGAAAGGACGTCCGCTGTTTGAGGTAAGTTGGTAGCCCCGATACTGGCCCGATGGGGTACTCACGATCTGGGGCGAAGCCCCCACGGCCTGCAGCGCCACGACCAGCAGCAGCATGACTGAATGCCGGCCCACCCCGCAAACCTTATATACCAGGCTCCCCACCGCAAGGCGTCGTCGTCCACAGGAGGGTGTCTTCTTGTCTTTCGGTGGACGATTGATAAACAGCACGAGCATAAAGAATAAATAAATACAATCTATATATTAAAATAAATATTTGTCGAGAGATGCAGTCGAAATAAAATAAATAAGTGTACTTTGGGGCTTGAAACTTTTATGGAACCATACTATTAAAGTTACATTTTATCAATTTCGATGGATTTTTTGGGGGGAAATGTTTTTGAATAAAGGTTCTATAGAAATTTTTGAAAGCGTTTATAGTAAGAATTAAATTTTTGTCTTTTTTTAGTACATGAAAAAAAAATTAACAAAAATGATAACGAAGCAGTAATATGGCCTATTACAGAAAAAAAAACATCTTGAATTAATTACATGATCTTCATATTAAGAACGAAATATTTTTTTATGCCATATTTTTATTTTACGATTGCCATATTAAAAAAAAAATTGATTTATTAATTGCTTTAAAACTACTTTTTAACAAAAGTTAATAAAAATAAAAGTGCTTTGAAAATTGAAAATTTCTTCGTGAAGGAGTTTCAGTTTCGAAAAAACAGAAAAATAATGAGAATTTTTTTTTGTAGATTTACAACATATTTTTAATGTTCGACTTTTTTAATATTATTTTATTTTATTTAAATTCTTCAAAAAACCTTAAGTAGAAATGTTTTTGCATAGTTTTGTTTAATAACTCATAAAGAAATTAACTTGTTTGCAGTAAAATATTTACGTAATATTTTCTAAAACTTCCGTTAATAAATAATTAACTATATCTGTAACAGTAGGTTTAGCTATCAGTTCTAGGAAATAAAAAAACAATTTATTTTTACATTATTATATTCATCCAAAGTTACATTTAAATTTCTTGGACAATTAGTCTGTCTTAACAATAGTGTAATGAGGAGTGAGCAACGAAGATTGTGTAGCCTCCGTAATTTAAATGTAATTGAGGATGTGCTACGTCGCTGTTTGTCCTATTTTACAAGTATATAGAATCAAGTATTATGAGAAAAAAAAATAACAAACCGTAATATGAACTTAAGGATTTACTTAATGATAAAGTTTGGAACAGTTTATTTAAGTATCACATGTCTGGTTTTAAATATAGAATGTTCTTCATTAAGAAATAAAATAAAATACATACATACAATAAAGAAAAGTTTTCAGTTATATGTAAACCAAACTAAAATAATAAAAAAAAAGTGAATTTAACCGAACTCAATTCATTTTTTTTATTGTGTTGTCAAAGTTAAGTTTATTTAGATTATATATATATATATATATATATATATATATATATATATATATATATATATATATATATATATATATTGTTACATGGTTTGAGATATTCGGATTTATTGTTTATTTTTCATTGAATATATATAGATATATCGCAGGGTTTTTTTCAAAATCGTCACTAAGTGCATGTTTGATATGGATGATTACCTTTCAAATACATATGTTGTGAACACTGTGGAAGAAAATGAAATAAATCAATTTATACATCAAATATAAATCAACAAGCGTTACAAAAGTTATTTATCATTTAAGGTTATAAAATGTCACTTAACGACTTTTTGACATATACCTACGATATTTTAGAGATAAATCTTGGCAGACGGTTTTATACCGTGTCAATAAAAGTTTTTTATTCTAAATGATCTAGTTATCTGTTCATATAAAATAATTTATTTTTATTAAAATTTAAAAAAATATTGGTGCATACACTTCAATGCGTAAGTCAAAATAATAAAGAAGAATTTATTTTAAAAAACAATCTTTAATGATTCTAAAACCAAATTGAATGAGTGACTGAAGAGAAGAATGGTTGGGTGATCAGTCAAAAAAAAAAAAAAAAAAAAAAATGTAAAAATAACTAAGTATATTAATTTTTACATTTGCCGACGTTTCGGCCCAAAGTTCAGGCATTCATCAGGGGTAAAAATAAAAGCGCTTTTGCAACAAAAGTATTTTTATTTTAGCCGTTGAAAACGTCGTAAAAAAAAAGTATATACTTATTTATTTTTATTTTTTTTTTACAAATCACCCCAAACATTCATTTTTCTCTTCAATTATCACTACAGTCAATCATCAATCCACAATTACAAATTAAATGAGGTTTGATAAAATCCCAAAAATATAAACATTTAAACGTAGCTACTCTTAAATTTAAGTATATACTTTAAGGAATTTATGGAACTAGATACTATAAACTGAAAATAAAGTAGATAAAAAATACTAAAAAAAAAAAGAGAGAATAAAACATTTTTTTTTCTGAATTGCACCGAAGCCTTCACTAGAAATAATGAGTAAAAAATTGCTTATGAAATTTATTTAATGAATAGGTTAATTAGTTAAGAACTGTTTCCTTGACCTTCTTCAAGTAACATTGAACTTATTACGTCAATATTTTAATTGAAGATCTCATTGGAAAATAAATAAAAAGTAAAATATATTTCAAAATCTAATGCCATAACTATGTATGAACACATGGAAAATGTAAAATACTTTCTATTCTGCCATGCACAAGTAAGCATAATATAAAAAAAAAATGATTTTGTTAACATGATTATTACTCATCTGTATACTTTTTATAATATTTTAAGATTTGTTTCATATATTAATTATTCAATATTACAAAGATGAGTAAATTATCTTCAAGTGGCAATTTATCATAGCATTTTAAGAAATAAAATTGTGTATATCGGAATATAATATAAATTGTAAAATTAGAAGATAATAGGAAAAAAATAAAAACGAAAAGACATCGATGATACGAAATTTTCCAATGTCAATTGTTGGAATTTTAAGTTATAATATAGCGATATCATTCGAATCTCAATATTAAATATATAATGTTTAAAAAATAAAATACATAAAAAAAGTGAAAACATTTATAATAAATTTATATTTATTTTTTCCACCCTTTCAATCAGTAAATGCCCCATTTTATGTAATGGACAAAATCCTATACCAAGACCTAAATATCTCACTTGTCCTTGACCTATTCCCAGGAATTTTTTTACTAATTTCAATAGAACCTTAGTAATCATCCAAACCTCTAGCACAATCCGTATATCGCTCCACCTATCCCTAAAATCCTCCAAGATGGTTGAAACGGTAATGGCCCCGCGACCTTTTGTTGGAGTTCTGGCAATGGCAAGATTCTCCACTCAAGACATGATTGTACGTGGCTAACTAAAGCGATCCCGCTTAATCTCAACTGGCTTTATCAAAAGTGATGCGGAGAAAGAAGCTCAGAGATCTCCTGAAATCTTTTCCCTCAGTAGTTGGAGGGACAGAGTTTCTAAGCTTGACTGTGCATAGTGTATAGTAGGATAGGTATATGAGTTGTTGTTTTTTTTTAAATTTATTTATCTTTAAGTTATTTTATTTTTATTTGATGTATATACTTTTTGATTATTATTTTGCTTATTTCAGCTAATTGTATACAAGTTATGAATGTACTCTTCACTCACTATAACCATTGCCCAAGTAACCGAACGTTACATTACTCAATGAAAAAATTTTTTTCATATCATAGTAAGAGATCTATGAGTATAAGTTAATTTTTTTTAATTTATTTATTTAATGAAATTTACAACCGTATAAACAATACAACTAGTAAAAATGCACACATTAGAAATAATGATATGAACAGATTTAAAGAGATACTGCCCAGTGGTAAGCACTCCCTATTTAATTCTAGGGGAGAAGATCATGATGATATACATCTAAAAAATAATCTATATATATGTAAAACAAATAAAACATTAATCCATCAGGCTTAGCATTAACATAGAAAGGATTACATACTTGCTAATTCTTCACTACTCACTCTAAACTCCATAATAAATAATTTGACATTTTCCTTTGGAGGAACTCTTAGTTAATGGCTACAGTCATTATTAAATTTCGAATATATAGATATATTAAAGAATCTTAATCTTATAATAGCAACTTTACGAAGAAGAACTTACGGAAGAGCGACAAAAGGTATAGAGAGCTCTGTAAGAAAATGGATGACACAGAGAGAACCTTCGGAATGGGATCGAATCTTATTTGTATATATCTGGTTATTTATATGTCTTATTATCTATGGATCAACAGGTAAAGAGGAAAACCTTGTAGTGGAGTGTATTGTTGACCACATCAAATCAATTTCCTAGTACACATATCACAACTCCTGGCATAACCTAGGGACGAGCATATTCATGCATTTTTTCCAGCGGAATATTCATCCAAAAATCCAAAAACTTTCAGGTATTGAAAAAACGCTATTTATGTTTGTTTCAGATAAAGTATATATCACAATAACTAAATAAATCAAAAACATCGAATAGTAGTTAAATCATGAATTGTGTAATATTATCGATGGAAATCTGTATTAAATAGTATTGAGAAACATTGTTACATTTTTACGATGAGTATTTTTAGGATAGTACCCGCTTCATTGATAGCACGCAATCACATTATCGTTCACTGCCGTTTTCATAAGTCACATCCATCAAAATCGCCCATACGTAACATCCCACATACTGCCACTAACAGGCACCGCAGTAAATCGCAACACACCATATCGTGAGATAGAAAGACACTCATTGAAAAGTAATGGACTTAATGAGTGGCTATAAGAGGACTTGGTTATTGAACTATTATCTTTCTAGTGTCTACAAATTTTTCTGGTCGAGGATAAGCTTAAAATTCCTCATGACAATATATTGTATATACATCACTTTTGTTTCTGACCTGATGTTCGGAGCACGCAATCTATAAGTCAATTCTATAACCCAGTAATGTTTGCTATGCACAACCGTTGAAGATATCTGTAACCAAAACCAAAATGAAGTTTTTCGGATCAATACGAGATTGTTAGTAGAAATATAATGTACATGGAAAAAATCCAAAGTATTTTGGGCGCTCGGAAATAATACTTTAAATATTTTTAGACGGCAAACGTTTCTTCAGGTTTGCTGCTATAAAATAGTTTTTTTTTTAAACTATTTCAATTATGCAATTAGCTGCTTCACATATTTTTGGTTAGTTAACTTTGA